ATAAAGTCAATGGACACTGAATCTCCTGGCTGATCAGGAATAGGCAAGGGTCTGAGAAGACCTAGAGGGGCACGGGTAGTGGTCTTATTTCTTTGACAGACCTTACAACCTGTCTCTTATACACATCTAGATGTGTATAAGAGACAGGTCCAGCGGAGTGCGCGAGGCTGCGGAGTTTTGAACCCACACCGTCATACCACAATGCGCACTTCCAGCCGGTGTCCTAACCACTTGGACACCAGGAATCCTTTTTTTTTTTTTCTTTTCTTTTTTTAAAGCCGTTTGTGGCTTGCTAGAGGGGGTGATATGAGCAGCCTCATCTAGCAGGCGTCCCTGGTCGCTCCTGTCTATTGGTGGGGAGAGATGGTTGCGAGGCACAAGGCCTCGATAAGCCCTACTGGGCCCCTATTTGCAACAGCGTCGGCCGCCCTAAGTGAAGGCAGGCTCGACAGACCCCAAGAGGCCTATTTTGGACTACTCCGCAACTGGGGAAATTCAGGCAGTTGCGCAGCGCCAGCCGGTTGGAAGCACCCAGGCCCAGGCTGCCTTTCATTGCATGTAACTGAGGCAAGGCCTGGGCCGGATACACAAAGTGGACCGAACAAAGGCTGAGGGCAGTTGGGTGCTGGTAACCGCCTCAGGCCCTGGGCCTGTTTCCTTCGGTCTGAGGCTCAGCCTCCCGGGGCCTACCGGAAGCTTCTGGGCCGGGGCCCAGTACCGCAGCACAGCACGCAGCAGCAGGCCACTTCAATATAGAGAAGGGCCTGCCCACGCAGGGGACATTCGGGCACTGGCTGCTTTGTGCGCAAGCGCTGCTGCGCTATCGCCTGCCAGGCTCACGTGCTCACGGGCGAGCTGGAAGGAGCAGGCAGCCATAGCCGAGCTGCGCTGCTGTATGCTGGATGGGGCGCATGGTGGTCCTTGGGTGCAAGTGGCATCTATGAGTTGGGGAACGAGGTTGTGAGTGATACGAGAGACATACCTGGTGCTTGAAGCGTGCGGCATTGGGCGAGATCTGCTCGTACTTCGGGGAGCTGTTGACGTCATCAGCGGCGTTGTAGAGTAGGCTAGATAGGATCTGCCATCTGTAGTCTGGGCGCCGAGCGCCAGATAGGACATCAGCATTGGTTCTTCGGTGGTGATGATGATGATGAGACTATTCCAGCATTGTCAATTATGAGCTTATGGTGTGCTCTTATTTGGTGAAACTCGTGATGCAATTCTGCTTTTGGTTCGAGGTCACGACTATCTGGTCTCATGTGTATGATGCTGTTTGATTGCTGAAGTTCGCTATTGCTCATCTTCCTTGCATGGTTAATGGAGACCTAAATTTTCAGATAACTTGTCATGCCATGTATAACAAAACCCAAGAGTCATTTTATCCAAACTTGCCAGCAATTCATACAGTGGACACCATACTAACTGATTGCAAAAACATAATCGGGAAAAAAAAAAAAAACTATAAAACAGCAAGGCAAAAGTGCACTTTCATGTAAATTTCGCCAGCGTTCAGTTTTGCAATCAGACTCGCTTTCATTCACACTTCTCATGCATGCAAACAGGTTGCGCAGCAAACTGGTGACAAGTGCCCACTCAAACTCCGAGATATGGCAAACAAGAACGCAGTCCAGATACAACTCGCTTTAGATGGCTATGGCGGCTCAGCGCCTGTACAACTCTCTGTTCGCTCTCACAGGATCACCCTGGATACCCCACACGTGGAACTCTGTACACACATACACACACACACACTACACCCTATCTACAGCTATGGCGGCTATGGCCGCTGGTAGCCTATCGCTATGGCTAAACTGCTTCTCGCCCACTTTGTCCTCAGGCTCACTGCAGACCACCTCACACAAGTCGCTGTGGCAGCGCTTCCGCATGGCCCAGGCAGGAATGAATGAATGGCTGGGCGCTGCCTCTTGATTTATACTTCTCTATCTCGTTGGTCTGCCTTTTTTCCCATGCCCGTGGTGCACACAGTCCCATGCAGTACTTGCTTGACTGGACTAGGACTGACTGGGACTGGGACTGCTGACTCAGCACGGGTGGACTCCACCACTTGCCCACTTGCCTCAGCCTAAACGTGAGCAACTTCGAAAGCCCACTACTAGGACCTTCCAGAAGTCTGGGTCCTGGCCTTTCGAAGACTTAGCAGCTATGAGCTTGGCCT